CTCTGTATAATGAATATACTGTCCAAATATTATCGGCACTTAATTGAACGCCCGTAATGCATAAGATCAATTTATATATTGCGTAGATTCACTCAATATTCACGTCTGAAATGTTTATACATCTGAAAACAACACTGTCACTCCTTCCTAGCATATCGTCACACCATTGTGATCTACGGCTTGATAGCGCATGCGCATTTGCGCTACTAAAGAATAAATTGGGTGTTCCGGGGTAAAGATCCTTTATACAACATGAGAAGCGAATGTTCTAAAATTTACAAAAAATACAATAACGAAAGCGATTCCTTGAAATTTTTGTGAACTTGGTAAAAGGATAACAGAATATGTAAATAAGTTAACTGAAATTGCCTAAATAACCTTCAAAGTACTAAGTACAATAAATCACTACGAACATAAATCGTATACACCCCCGGAAAGTTTACTCTATGACTGGCTGACTGACTGATTTGTGTGAATTCGCCAGCCATCACAATAGTGTGAAACTTCACAATAAAAATGAACACCAAAGCTTTGCATGCAGGAACTTCTCAGACGTCTCTTGTTCTGATTATTCTTCATTTCCTGATAACTAGTTCCATAAATGTTTGCTTGACAGCATAGGTTTATGTCATGCTAGTCACATAACGGAGACTTGTGTGGATTGGTCATCGTATGAAATCAATCGCCAAGAACATACCTTCAGCAATTCCCAAAAACAGGATGTACCAATGCAAGAACATCCTCAGGTTGGGTTATGTCAACTGAAGCTTGTCTGTATTCCATTGGTACGATATCTGGTACATCGTGGTCCTTAAAATGACATTTGAGCAAATGCACATTTTGTACAAATTTCACTACATTAAGCCGGCTGGTACTCATTGGACGCAACACAAACAGAAATACAAAAGAAAACTATCACGTAATGGTTTTGAAAACAAAGGCAGAAGGTTTTTCTCTCTTTTGCAATGTATTTTTTGGCCTAGCCTATTATGGTTAGATTCTTGTACTTGTGCTTATTTTTATATCAATCCCTATTTTAGACCCTTCACTGTATCCCATTGTTTTAACCTATTGTCTTCATGCTTGTGCTTATATGCTTGCGGCTAGTGAGGATCAGGGGCCAGTTGTTTAATTGACCAAACTGAATCGACCGTTTGCCAATCAGAATCGTTTAATTTAGGTACGATTAGCATAAACTCCCATCTGCTTTAAGCTAACTGCCTCGTCTAACCCTACAAGGTTATTACAGTTAGCTTGCACCTTCATATTATGTAATATTTAATGAATAGAAGTTATATGTAAAATTTCCAGGTGCTAAATAAGATATTGCCTCATTGCTTTGTCTTTGAAAGCCATTGCATGGCATGTTAATTCAAACAACATATTGGAGTAGCATGGCACAAATTATTTTCAATAGTGGGACACCCTGTATAAGCATGAACAAAATTCAATTCAGAATAAATTTCTCTATGCTTTGTCTTTTTAACTCCTTTTCGACCGGCCCTGTGAAAAGTAAAATGCTAGTAAAATGCTAGAATGCCTCGTTAATTTTAATGCAAAATGGAATCGGATTTGTCACAGCAAAAAATGTATAATGTCAATCAATAATCAAAATTACTTTTGCTTGGACATTTGCCAAATTTAGTCTGACATTGTCTGATGTCCGACAGTAATTTGCAGCCCTGGCATATTATATGTGCGCTATAATATTTGTTGTGACCATAGGATGAAGATGAAAGGTTGGATGCAACTGGTGGCAGTACAGAAACTACATTTTCCATCTCCACAAATTGAAATCATAATTTATCCTGAAAACAACATTGGTAACCTCCAAATTTTAATATTTCAATAAGTAAGCCAATGTAGCCTATCATCACATATCGATACTTTTCCATCTTTTGTACTTTGTAGCATTGTCAAAAGGTCTTTACCGCAGTTGTGGCAATTTGTTGGCATTATCGCTGACAGTTTGCCACTGTTTATGTATAAGTGTTTTTCACTTCATTGTTGGTAAACAAACCGGATATAGATGATATCCCATATAGGCAAACCAGGGATATTTTGTCAAAGGTATACAGTTGGTAACTAAAATTGCCTTGCAAAAGTCAGTTAGTTAACAGAGATTCACTGAATTAGAGATTAACACAGTTTCAATGACCAGTTTGTCATAAGCTAAGCGAGCTGTGAAATATCATAAAATACTGCTCTAATGGCTACTTAGAGATTGGATCTGCCAGCAAGTGAAGTCATGTAACAACATACATAAATTGTTATTATTGCATTTCCATGACCCATTCCTTTATTTTTATTTACGCATCATTTATTTGTATAAATCGGAAGTTTAAAATTAAAATTACACCTGTTACAGGTTAAGACTTCCCAAACTGAAGAGCAATTTAAAAGTCATGTAAAGTATGATGGAGCTTTTGAGTGTCTGTGGGTACATATATGTACCAAAATTTACTGAGAAAGAGGAGTTGGTGAAAATAATCACAACATATGAGGTTCTTGACAAACCAAGAAAGGTGTGCCTTGGAGGAGTTCAAAGAAGGCTTCAGCAAGCTTGATCTGCACAATGTTATGAAGCGACATCCAGCAGAGTTTGAAACTCTGTTCTGCTGTCAAGGGAAAGCTCTTAGTGTGGATACAACGGAAATGGCCTTTATAATTCACATGCTTGAGTTATTGCAATATAATACATATGAATACAGATTAAAGTATACTTTACCTTGGACTTTCGAGACGTCTTTATTCCACACTTCCTACGTGTCTTGTAATGCTGCTTGGTCCATTTCTTGTATATTGGATATTTGAAGATTTTCTTTGGTTATCATATATGATGCAACATTGTTGAGTCTCCTTCATAGACACAAAAACATACTGAATTATATAATTATTAGTGCGACAGAATTTCGGATTTTAACAATATTATCAAGCTTTCTTAGGTATTTAAGATACAATTAACGATTCTTTTGTCATATTTCAAATGAGTAACATTCCCATTTTTTATATTTCCTTTTGTATAATGGAAATACAACTATACATATGTTCGCCATTATGTAATTAAATTGATTTGTTATGACACTGTGACTAACGTTTTATGCTTTTCAATGTATAAACACTGAATTACAGTAACATACCATCAACAGAATTATTGGCAATATGCTTCAATACAGAACTTTTCTTTTCAGATTCTGTAATCTGTACTCTGGAGGATCTAAGTGCGGGTGGAATTATTGGAGGGACATCAACCATATCTATCCAAAACAAATCTGTCAATCATGTATATATCATTTTCTCCAACCAATATGACCCGTAACATGAATATTTCCAAATCAATTGGTTCAGACGCTTTATTACTGCCGAGATAGTTAATATATAATATTATATACCGAGGTATAAGACTGACAAATTGGGCTCGACTATGTTAAAACTATACCATGAAATTATGTGTTTGAGAATTACTGACAATTGTATACCATACATCATTAGTTGAGCAACAATTTTTCAAGTTTCCATCTCCAATATATAACTCTCCGATTATTCCACATAAGCCACAAATACCACTGTCCAGATATCTTTCTGTTACAGCTTCAAAACAGAAGAACCCATTGTAGAGGAGATCTACCATATAGTCTTTATTCATACCACATTTTTTGGAAGCCTGTGTAAAAGAATCACGATATTTCTAACTCACATAAAACAATAAACATATTATATTTGCTGTGCTGGTGTAATGTACTCAGGTGAATAAGATGCTTGTGTGATGTTAAGGTGAATATCAGGTGAATAAGATGCTTAAGGTGAATTATCAGGTGAATAAGATGCTTGTGTGATGTTATAAGGTGAATATCAGGTGAATAAGATGCTTGTGTGATGTTATCCAAAGGTTGTAGGTTCGAATCCCACCGTGGCCAGGCATATTTTTCAAGCCTTCCCGGTGTGGATATACACTCAGAGTAACATCACACAAGAATAAACATATTGCACTAAACATTTGCAGTGAGATGCTGAAAAATATTTTCCATTCTCTCATGTTGCACGTACGCCAAATGAAAAAATATCATGCAAAGAAAACCTTAACATTATTAGGTAATATCCTAAATACTCTTTACTTCTTCATGATTGTATATTAATGAAGCTATCTTTGCCTCAATCATGAATCATCACAGTTACCGGCAAGCCCCGACGGAAAGATTCTCTCCATTCCAACAAAATTACCATAGACCACACAACATGATCTTGTCACTAATGTTAAACAGGTCTGAAATTTGAAAGGGCAAATATTAATTGTATAATTAAGATAATATACACAAATACCAGTGTATCATGTCACTCTCTATTTAACTACATGATTTACACCTCACTTTTTAAGTTTCCGACCCATTCACAACATTGCCATGGCAAACATTGTTCAGACAAAGCACCCAAGGTTTCCTTCTTCTCAGGTGAGAAACAAACACTTCTAATCACACTTGACTCTGTCTGAAGAGTGCAATTAAAATATGTACAGGAGCCGGTTTTTTTTAAGGGTGTCACAGAGTGCACATAACAATTAATTTCGGTAGAGCCTAGAAATATAAAACAGAAAATTATACTGTTACAAATACCGAGATGAACATAAATAAACATTCTATTCAACAAAAGATATATTTATGCAATGTATATAGTAATATAATACATATTATCGTAAGGCATTCGATTCACTAAGCTGCAGCAGCCTGATAAAACATTGTTATATCCGTATATAGGCTGTTCTATCAGTTTGCATGCAGGCTATCGATCCACGAGACCAGACTGCATTTATCAGTCACTATGGTGCGGAACGTTTATTACCGGAAGCCCCATTTACACAAGCAATTTTTACGTAACAATTTTGATCTGACAATTTTTATTTGCTAGTGTAGATGAGGAAAATTGGGCATTTTTTGTGTGGCAAATACAGCTGCTGAAAAGCTAGCGTGTTAGCTTTTATGTGACAAATAAAAGTTGTCACATACGAAAAATTGCTTGTGTAGATTACTCGTCACATAAAGTCATATTTTTCTCCCGCCATATTTGTAAAAGTATAATTAGTGTCCGCGCCATGTTTTATTGCGCGAAATACCGCTGTTAATAGATATTTTTAAACAGGAATCAAGTGCATCAACAATTCTTTGCAACCCTCGAAATTCGCACTCGGCAATTGCCGAGGGAAATGCCGAGGCAAGTTACGATTTTTCATAGTTTGCCTCGGCAAAAAAATGCAGAGGCAATTCCAACCGTTATACATATACCTTGAGTTACAAACTACAGTGTCTGTTCGTTTTTTTTTTGCTTAAATTTACAACCTACAGTGTTCGTTTTTTGTATCACTTCTTTGTTCGATTTGTTGTCATCGACGTCGGGTGAACAACAGAAGATTTCATTCATAGCTACTTTACAAAATATTTAAATTTGAGCTTTTCAGCGTCGGCTTCGGTTGAAATAAAGAACAAACTTGATGGTTTAAAGACGGCACATCCAGAAACTTTGTTTTATTTTTAGACTGTCGCATGATTACCGTCAAGTTTATTCTTTCATACAATTTGTTGTTAATTACCACTAACTTTTTAAAAACATTTTGAATCAGGAATTTGTAAAATGACAACAAATTGTCAAATGTCAGAATTTACTCTTGTTATAATATTTGTTTACAATACTTTCCGTATGTATTTTACTTTAATTACATGCAACTGCTGACGTGAATGCCGAAGGGTGCCAAAGTAATTGCCGAAGGAATTTAAGGTAATTTCATTGCGTGCCTCGGCAAAAAAAATTGCCGAGGCAAACTCGAAAATTATAGAAAGTCCTCTGCAATTATTTGCAGAGGCAAAAATAGTTGAATTTCGAGGGTTGCTTTGTTGTCTTGTCTACACGACCAAATACATTTGTCACATAAAAATATGAAAAATTGTCACATTCACTCACAGTCAGTCCTCACAAGAAACCACGCCCAAACAAATACCAAACTTGATACAAATAATGTAAACGTTAGTGCATCTATTGAAATTACTAAATTTACATATGAATGAGATCATTTCTATAGTCATTAGCCTGTACATTAGTTTCTCATTGAGTTGTTATAATAAAGCTTATATCTTTAACTGGTTAATATTATGTGTATGAACAGACGTCACAATGCCACATGGTGGCAGAACCTGCGATCCAACACTAAATATACCCCTTAGGACTTCCTGTTGCAACGATAAATTCCACCTAACGGGTGTTGACGTAACTCATAAGTCTGCGACCCGCAACCTGTGATCCGCGACCCTGTGACCTGACCTGTGACCCATGAAATAGACCCGCCGTAAGTTCATCACAAGGTAGAATGGCAGTTGGCATTTCCCAGAAGCATGACGGTTCAGTGCATTATGCCACTCTTCGATGTTTTTATTGGTGCGGACTGCTTGTTTAAAAGCACTCCAAGTGGGTGGTGGCCAAGTTGATCCTTTTTAATTGTAGATTATACAAGGGCTGCTTGCAGCCTGAAGTGTAATATTAATTATACGAAAAATATGATATTTAACAATTCATTATCTCTTTATTCACTCCAAATATACAGTGATTAACAGCAAACTATTAAAATAACATAAAGTAACGTATATCATATTGCCGCTGGCCGGACCATGGGCTCTTGTCTTTGAAATGAACAAATCATCCACCTGAAAAGAAACAAAATAACCACTATAACATAAAAGGGTGGGTTAATAATGGGTGGGATTGCATTGTTAAATATCGACTCATATTTCTCGTATAATTAATATTACACTGTCCTTGCTGGAGCAGTATTAAACTGTGGGCGATAATAGAATTTAATAAAAGTACTTTGTCAAGACAAGTCTGCAAATTGCAAAATCTCCGATACTGAGAAGCCCTGTTTTGCTGCTTCCATGGTAACAGCTCCGCGAAAGGAATGTCCTTTAAAGGTAGAAGTATCAATACCAGCTAGAAAAAGGAGTTGCCTCAACCACCTTGCGCAACTGTTGCCGAGGCAACTGCTTTGTGAGGATAGATGTATGACGACAATAACTTGTTAGGTTTTGATGGGTCGGTTGACCTCCATGCTGCTGTACGATTTTCATATTCGGCAAGGCATTTGCATACACACAATAAGTTATTGTGGTTTAGTGTTTTTTGTTACTTCAGGGAGTTTAAATTCAACACCTTCTGCAAGACCAGAAGCTCTATCCGGAGCAGTTAAGGCTAGTGGGCCTACCAACTTGTAGGATTATATTTTGGTGGAAAGTTGGGCATTTGGACCCAACAAATTTATGAACTGTACTAGCTTATCGACTTGCCATATTTGAGCGTAGCGTGGTCGAGGTGGACGGAGATGATACACCCCATTTAGTAACTGGGAAACTAAAGAGTGGGTGCCCCCCATTTTGTTTATGTAGGTTGCTGCTGTGACATTGTCCATTAGGAGTACCTGGGCTTTTGCCTTGGATTTGGTAAAACATTTGACCACTAAGGATCCTGCTAGGAGCTCTAGGCAGTTTATGTGATGTGTGCTCTCTTGTAGCGACCATCTCCCCCCTGTTAACACTCCTTGGCAATGGGCCCCCACCCCTGGAGGGATGCATCGTTCGACTGTTAGGTCTGTCGTTTGTTGGAGCCTACATGTAGCCTACATAGCAGGCGTTTAGTGCATGCGGCAGAAGAAAGGGCATCGTTTGAGGAAACGCCTGCCCAAATGGCCATGACAAATTAGTTTTCGCCCATTAAGGATGATTGACGTTTTGTAATTAGCACCATCACCCATTATCCAATCATAGTCGAGATTTATATTTAACATCATGCATGCCATTTGCTCGGCAAGTAGGGAGATTTGCAGAGATTTTATGTACTATTTAAAACATGAGCAGCAGTGTATTATCAGAAATAAAGATGGTCTGATAAAACACACACTACGAATGTTTTAATTCTGGTAAGTTCATTGGCGAAGTAACTTTCAAAAAATTTGTTGTGTATGTCGAGAAAATCAAAGTTAAAGTTTATGTAAAGATACGACACGTTTATGATTTTTCTTTGTGTTTTCCTCCTGAATTATTAATGACTTTTTGAAGCTATTTTAGACAACAGTCACAACACAGAGCTTTTATCCTTTAAAAGGCTTCTGAACAACTACCAGTTGAGTGTGTTTTGAACTGTTAATATTCTTTATAAAATCATCATCCAACTTCATAGCTGGAATGCCAAGTAATGTAGCCTCAACAAATATCAAAACAACTATAAGAAATATTCGATCCCTGCTCATGGTGGCATTAGATGATCAGAGCTATTAAAATAGCATGTGGCAAGCTTTAATAATTTGCCGATATAAATGTATAATTGAAACTCAAACTTTTCTGTATCCCGTAGATAGAATTGCGATAACCGGCATCTTCACCACGTAGCAAATTAATAATAGACTTTCTCTGTTCTGGTTTCAACTGAATTTTGAAGCCTAAATACTTTAAATATAAGGAGTTCCCTTGAAAGCATTAACAGGCATATTTTTTATGAGAAATATACGACTATCGCTATTTCGATACGCGAGCAAAATTGTTGTTGACATTTGAGTTACGTAATTACTTCTGTTAACAAGATTAACCTTTTTCCGAAAAGAACAAATTTGTCATGGGCAGGTGTTTATTTAATGATGCCCTCTCTCTTCTCCCGCCCGCACTAAACGCTTGCTACGCAGGCTACGTTCCATGCAACAATATTGTTTTTCCACCACTGAACCTCCTGAAGGGCTTCTGAATCTAGGTTGACCAGAGCTTTGTAAGATTCCTGTCTTTTCAGGACAAAATTCTTCACTTGCTGGAGGTAGCGGTAATGCAGTGGGGCAGGAAATACTGCCTGAATTGACGAAGATAGTAGGCCCAGGAATTTTGACAACTCCCAAACTGGAGTTACTGGGTTGTCTAGTAGTTGTTGACAGTTTTGAAGGACTTTATTTATTTTGTCCTTTGGGAGACTCGAGGTCATACGATCTGTTGGGATGGTGTTAACAGTGACTTTGGATAGTTTACTACAAACCCCAGTCCCTCTAATAGATTTAGTGCTGTTGCCACATGCTGTAGGGCAAGTTGTGCTGATTCTGCCATTATAAGAAAGTCGTCTACGTAAGCTATGAGTTGAATGCCTCTCTGTCGCAAAACTGACAGGACTGGTTTCATAAGCTTTGTGAACACTCTTGGAGCGCTCACAAGGCCGAATGGAAGGCATGCAAACTCCATAAGTGAGTCCCTCCAGAGAAATCAGAGGTACTTCTGGTGGTCTCTCCAGACAGGTACTGTCAGGTATGCATCCTTTAAGTCTATTTTCACGAAATAATCGTCTTTTCTTAAAAGATATTTTAACATGTGTATTGATTCCATTTTGAAATGCTTGTGACGTACAAAATTGTTTGGGGCCTTCAGGTTTATAACTGGCCTGTGCCCCCACCCTCTTAGGGTACTACAAAAAGAGAGCTGACAAACCCCTTGTCATTGTCTGGGCTGCCCAAAACATAATTAACTGCCCGTTTGGCTAGCAGTTCCTGAACTTCCTGGTCTATTAAGAGTTGATCCTCTCAATATGACCATTTTTGGGGGATTCACTTGTACCAGAGTGGAAGTGAATTGTATTTGGTAAGCTTGGGCTACCTGAAGGACCAAAGGGTCTCTCATTATTTGATCACATGCCGCTAAATAATATTTTAACCGACTTACTATTGGTTGGTTGGAATAACTTAAAAGATTTTGAAACATGACTTCGGCACTGTGATGTTACTGTTTTGAATGGAACTGTCGAGGGGAACTGCATGTGTGTGCTCAACCTCTGAAGTTGTTGAATGGGAAGTGGTTCCCTCGCATTGAATGGAAGAAGCTTGGGCGCTTTGACCTCTGCCACCCCGGAAACGCCCTTGAAATCGCCTGGGGGCACACCCGGGAAAAAACTGTCTTCCCACTTTCTTGGCCTGAGCTTTCTGTGCCAAGCTTGAGTCTGGATTCAAACCCTTCACTAAATAATTCTTTTCCAGCCTCAGGAACATCTTCTTTTACCCAGTGATGTAAGATATGGGTCGAGTTTCATTAAAACTTGCTCGCGATGTTTCACAGACAGTTGGGCAGAGGTATCTCCCACTAGCAGAATAGCTTTCTTTACACAGTTAAACATTGCAGAAACTGAGGCTTTATTCAAAGTTATGTTATCTTTGGTAAAGGGATTCATGCATGAGATTGTTCTCATACAATGGGCCAAAAATATCAAGCACCTTGTCTTGCATTTCTCTCAATGCCGTGTCTGACGTTTTGACACTGCTTATCATGGATGGCAAATAACTATGTAGGCTTGGAGTCCATGCTGCATTGCTAGCAGGTCTGGTGAGTTCTCGACAACTTCACCATGTTCATTTTTTGCTGTTTCCGGATTTAAGTCTAAATCGTGTTGAATCGGACAAACATATACACACCCCTGTCCCACGAACCTTTTAAGGAAATCGACCGTGTGACCATTCTGCCCTTCGCGAATCACACTCAGTTCCAGTGAACCTGGTTTTGCATGCATGAATTCATAACCCCCACTATCACTCAACTTGGGGAATGCTTCTTTCAAGCCAACACTTACATCATTTGCATTGCCTTCTCCAGGCAAAGTTACTTTTTTTTCTCAGAGTCCATCGACAAGTAGTTGTTGTTTTTCAGCATTAGTCGGAACGTCATGTTGTGTGGTAGAAGCCAGACAAAAAAATTTTATTGTCACATCTTTCATTGTCTTTCTTTTCTTCGCCCTTGCTTGTGTGTTTGAGGCAGTCCGGAGTTGAGAGGAAGTCGACGACTCAGAATGAGACGTCGATGGATGATATGAGGCAAACAATCGCCGAAATCATCTTGTGCTCGCTCTGGCCTACTAGTACTACTACCATTACCAGTGTCTCGTCCTGATTGCACTGTGACTGCTGTCGGCACTGATCTCGATGTCTCACTCGATGTTAAACTTTGGCCGCTTTGGCCGTTATGCAGCAAGGGAGAATCACAGTTTATAGACTAGATGGTTGGGCTAGCCGGCAAACTTCAAAGGCGTTGGCAAATTATGTTGGGGATCAAAGGATAAAAAAGTCACGTGTCCATGAAGCGGTATGCTGCATGTGTTTTTATATAGTTTTCTATTAGGAAGAATCAAATATCTGGATAAAATATCATATTTCACTTTGTTTGAGGAGGGTCATTTAATAGGTTTGTTATCGTTATTGTCTGGCAAGTTCGTCGAGAAGGAAACAGTCTTTTACAAAGCAAAATGAACGAATACGACTGCGAAAATGAAGCAAGCATTGGAAGGCTCGAAGAGGTAGATTTATCTGATGACGATTCAGATGACAGTTTCGACACCTTTTGTTTGATATTTTGGTGGCTGAAACGGAGACAAATGAAATTGACAATGAGTTCAATTAAGCTGCAAATGAAATCAAAGGCAAGAAGCCATTTGAGTACGAGAAATGCGGTAAAATATGCAAATCGAAGGTGCTCTTTTAATACACAAGGTGTACAAATTCTAAACATGCCGAGCCCAAGACTGCCGAGGTATACAAGGACAATCTAGACAAAGATACAGTTGATGGCTTTGTTGAAGCAATCAAAGCTAGAATTATAAACAAAGGTCTATATGGCAACGAGAGTTCCACTGCGGCACTGTTTACTGCTCTGCTTCCTATGTACGAGATAATTTGGAAGGAAAGAATCAGGAGAAGTTGCTTGAAACCTTTCATGGCTTAATTCCTCCATTGGAAAAGTTGTTGAAGTGTGATGACTATAGAATAGTGAACTTAGTACTGATTCAACTGCCTGATTTTTTAGTTGGCATCTATAAGACTTCCACAATGAACAAAACGCAAGACGACACACCAGCCACACTTGAACCCAGCTCAATGCCGACCATTGTCCTACATTGCTTTGCACAAGCCCACTTCTGCAGTTCGAGCAGAAATTATATGCATGACTTTTTGACGGTTTTGTGAACAAGCTTTACTCCCAATATATTCATATTTTGATTAAAGCTTGTTCACAAAAACCAAAGAAAGAAAGCCCAGTCCAACGATAAAATTCAAGCCTTATTGCAAGTCATGAAGTCAATTGAAGCGACAAATACTTTTATTTCTGCTCGAACCAGAGGTGGGTTTGTATGCCCTTGTGACGACTTAATTCATATTGTTGAAGTTGCTGAGTTACCTCCAGAGGTGAAATCAACAAGATCAATGACAATGATACATTAATAAGAAGTATACCTACAGAACGTTCATATTTGCAATTTAGTGCTCGACTCTCCTGCTGTGAAGTGATTATGGGAGAACATTGTTTTGTCTTCTGGGGTTGACAGTTCATCTCCAACTCCAAAGTTGTGCTTGGAAGATATTGTTAAAACAGAAAGGACTGGAATAGGAAGTAACTGTTCCTGTAAATAGTATCTGTAAATATCCCTAGTTACAGATATATTAAACAATAACAACAGTGTATATTTCTTTTGATCTGTTATCTGGGATTTTAAATAAAGCAATGTTCCTGGTTAGGTCTTAATATGTATATATATATACTCACTTGGATTACAAACCCTAACATTCTAATATTAATTCCACCAAGTGAAGTGCAAGAATCCTAATCATTGAAAATATAAAGATACACTCAATAAAAGCACACATGCAGCTTCTCAAGACTGTTGTGTAAACTTTGTCACGACTGTGGCAATACACTGATATCTGATTCTCATCATGTTGACAGCTGTTTTCATTCACAATAACATCTTAACTAATCCATGTTTCCGTTTAAATGACGTTTTAAATTTGTAATATTTTAGATCTCTTCGAATTGTTCTCCAGAAGCAAAAATGCGATTTGTGCGAGATATTTTGACCCCTCCATATCGGCTTTATTTTTCGTTTTTATACCCTCATGTGTTTCAGATAATATTTGCATCTCAACATACTTAACACGAACCATTACAAACATATGCTTTGAATGAACTTCGCGAGACAATCGGAAAAACATCATTTTATCTGCAAATATGATCCACTCATATAGAAAAATATACAATGTTTTGAAACAGCATGCCACTTTCTTGTCACATGACGCAAATAAATTGAGAACAATGACATATTCTGTGACGTCAGCAGCTAGCCCAACCATCTTAGTCTATAAACTGCGGGAGAATTGATTAAACTTGTTGCCGCTGTGTCAACAAACGTGCTGCTTCTGTGAGATCAGTCGATTTGGCCATTTTGAGTCACGCTTTTTGACAAAGGATTGCAATTTCAAAAGGAATGACTGTGCTTCCATCATCAGATTCTTAACATTCCTTTTTTAAATTTCCAAATATCCTTCTTTAATTTATCTCCCCTCAGCCCTGTAGAGGCTAATCAGTAATAAGGGTGCAGTCCCTAATAAATGGACTTTTACTACTAATACATGTATAATTTCCTTCAAACTCAAAGTGGGGTTGTGGGGGAACAGCAGGGGCAACTGCCCCCCTCCCCCTTTAATTTTATTATGTTATTATAAATTATTAAGCCAATTGGTGCTTTAATATGACCTTGTGAATTAGAATGTATGATTCTCTGTGGGGGTGGCAATAAGCATGCATCAAACTGATATGACTTGTGCCCCTGGTGGAAAAGTGGGAACCAGGAAAAATCTCACTAGGAAACCCTGGTGCTACCGCTTTGTCAAACTTTGTTTTCAATGCTAAATTTCCATTTGATAACTGAATAATTAAAGTGGAAGTCAAGTCCGTTCTGCACATCGGTTCTGCTCATAACAATGTGAGGACCCTCTAATGTAATCATTGCCCAAATTTCAGATGTTTCAAATTTTTCTGAACATAAACTCTATTATTTCATATTCATTTAGAAGCACAGCGAACCAAAATGGTGTTAGATATTCAGACAGTACATCAAATTTTAAAAAAATACAGCAGTTCAAAATGTAAACAAACCGTTTGTTTACATACCGACTTGACTTCCACTTTAGACATAAGCTAAATAATAAAAATAAACTAAATAATAAAAATAAACTGAATAATGAACCAAACTGATAGCAGTTTCCTTCAAACTTTCAGTTTCCACCGCCATTTTGAACTAGTGCTACCGAGCCTACCGTGTAATGCCCAAACCTCTAAATAATGAAAAATAAGCTGAATAATGAAAAATAAGCTAAATAATGAAAAATAAGCTGAATAATAAAAAATAAGCTAAATAATGAAAAATAAGCTGAATAATAAAAAATAAGCTAAATAATGAAAAATAAGCTAAATAATGAAAAATAAGCTAAATAATGAAAAATAAGCTGAATAATAAAAAATAAGCTAAATAATGAAAAATAAGCTAAATAATGAAAAATAAGCTGAATAATAAAAAATAAGCTAAATAATGAAAAATAAGCTAAATAATGAAAAATAAGCTAAATAATGAAAAATAAGCTGAATAATGAAAAATAAGCTAAATAATGAAAAATAAGCTAAATAATGAAAAATAAGCTGAATAATAAAAAAAACCTGAATAATAAAAAAAACCTGAATAATAACACAAATTTATTATTAGCATGACAAAATTACTGGATGCTGATTGGTTGAAAGGAGTACAATTATTTCATTAATTGTACTGCAGTACAATTAATGATTTTCCCAAAACAAACAAAATGGCAGAAACGTATTTTCTGAAACACAAGCGTGAAATGAAATTGCCGTGGAGGAACTAGATGAAAATACGAACAAAAGCACCATATTTTGCTTTAACAAAAGGACTAAATGAAAATACAAACAAAAGCACCAAATTTTGGTTGAAAGTCTTGCAGGACTGAGCTTTGGCGAGAGAATATGATGCTGACATTGAGAATTACGTATACAATTTTGTCATGCTAATAATAAACAAGTAATCATGCTATGTTGCTCGTACAATTAGGGATTAATAGTACTCGTGATGTTTGGAAATTTGCCAAATTGGACTCGTCCCGGCGGCTCGTCCAATTTTGCAAAATTTCCAAACATCACTCGTACTATTAATCCCTAA